GGTGCGGCCTTCCTCCTCCAGGGCGTCCCCGTCGCAGTTCTTCCTCCCGCCCGCCCGCCCCTCGGAGGCTCTTCCTCCCGCGAAGCCAGGAGGCGGCAGCGCCCCGCCCTCCCCGGAGGCCGGTAACGGCCGCCCGGCCGCCCCTCCCTTGGGCTGCTGCTGGGTCGGGAGCGATCCTTGCATTCATTCACTACTTTGCCAGATTTTCCTTGGAAATCCTTATCATTTACCACTCCCCCCTCCAGCGGAACTGTGGCCTCTCCTCCGTACCACAGACCAGTGCTTCTATCCTTTTCCACGAACGCGATTATTTAATCTTCACGAGTAGGTGCGGGACCTTCAGTTTGCAGATGATCAGTGACACAGCTCAAAGGTAGACCTGGCGTTGAGTCCAGGCACCTTGACTCCAGGGTTCCTGTATAGCCACTCCGTCTTACAGAGATAGAAGTGACACCCAGGAAAAGGGGAAGTAGTATGCTTCCGTCTTTATTTTTTCCAGTCAGGGAGGAGGCATTGCTGTGTGATTCAAAGAATGTCTTTGGAATCAGACACTTGGGGCTTCAATTCTCAACATAGTCAATTACCAAGTTAACAACTGTTTGATTTTGAATACACTTCCTAACGTATAAATAGTGATTAAAAACAGCTTATACAGAATAATAAAAACATGTTTGATAATAATAATAATGACAGAAAACTTCCTCTACCTGGTGAAGGAAGTAGACATAAAAGTTCAGAAAGCACAGTCCCAAACAAGATGAAACCAAAGAGGCCCACCCCAAGTCACATCATAACAGAAATGCAAAAAGTTAAAGACGAGATTCTTAAAAGCAGCAAGAGAAAAGCAGTTAGCTACTACTACTGTCAGCTGATTTCTCAAAAGACACTTTGCAGGCCAGAAGGGCGTGGCAAAGAAAGATTTAAAGTAATGAATAGCAAGGACCTACAACCAAGATTACCCAGCAAAGCTATCATTTATTGGGGGTCAGATAATGACCTTTCAGATAAGAATAAGCTAATGGAGTTCACCACCACCAAACCAGTATTACATGAACTATTGAAGGGTATCTTATATTACAAAGAGATAATATGCAAATTGACCATCACACCATCACGTGATGGCAGCACCCACAGCAGGGGTGGGGCCGGCCCCACCAGAGGCCTTGGGTCCTTCTGCACCCCCCACTGACTGACAGCTTGCCCAGGCTCCTCCAACAAGCTGCCCATCCCCTTTTTTTTTCCCCTCCCCTAAAGTTGAAGCCTGACTGTGCTGTCTAACAAATTGCAAGTTATAACCCATGTCGTTGAGAGTATCCTCCCTTCCTCAACTGGGGCCAGCCACTCTGTACTCTTGCCACCAGAGTCCCCTCAGCCCCGCCAGGGGCCTCGGGTCCTCCTGCACCCCCCACTGACTGAGGCTCAGGCAAGCAGGGTCAGCCAAGGCACAGGCAAGCTTCGGATGGTGGCTGCCTAGCTGCCCAGGGCTGGCCTGAGGCTCATGTAACTAGAGCTGGCCAAGGCTTGCACTGCTGGCAGTGGCAGCAACAGAGGTGTGGAGGGGGCATTGCCTTCTCCTGATTGCTGGGTTGCCTCTTGCCCCTGAGGGCTCCTGGACTCTGAGAGGGTGCAAGCTGGGCTGAGGGACCCCCTCCTCCAATTCATGCTCTGGGACTCTAGTTCTTTAAGAAGAGGAAGAAGAAGAGAAAAAAAGATAAAAAATATGAACAATAAAATGGCAATACATATTAATAATTGAACCTAAAAATCAAAATAAATGAACAAGCAATCTAATGAACAAAATATATTGGTGAATAAAATAGAATCAGGCTGGAAACATGGAACAGACATGAATCTCATAGGGAAAGGTGGTGGGGAAGGGAGTGGGGAGAGATTCACCAAAGATCTTACCTATGGACACAATTGGGTGGTGAAGACCTGGGGTAGGGTGGGAACCAGGTGGAAGGGAGAAAGATGGACATTTGTAATACTCTCAAAAAAAAAAAAAAATCCTGCCGAAACTGGTTTGGCTTAGTGGATAGAGCATTGGCTTGAGGACTGAAAGGTCCCAGGTTCGATTCCAGTCAGGGGCATGTACCTTGGTTGTGGGCACATCCCCAGTAGGAGGTTTGCAAGAGGCAGCTGATCGATGATTCTCCCTCATCAATGTTTCTAACTTTCTATCCCTCTCTCTTCCTTTCTGTAAAAAATCAATAAAATATATTTAAAAAATTCTTACTCAAGGATCCTTTTATTGATTTTAGAGAGAGGAAGGTGGAGAGAGAGAGAGAAAAACATCAATATGAGAAATAGTGATCCTGAATGTGCCCCAACGGGGGATTGAACCATGATCTAGGTATGTGCCCTGACCTGGAATCAAACTAGCAAAATTTTTGGTGTACAGGATGATGCTCCAACCTACTGCACTACCTGGCCAGGGCTCAATTTCTTAATATGGTTTGAAGCACAAGATTGTTTTAAAAAAAATACATTTAAAAAAATATATTTTATTGATTTTCTACAGAGAGGAAGGGAGAGGGACAGAGAGCCAGAAACATCGATGAGAGAGAAACATCAACTACCCTGCACACCCCCCACTGGGGATGTGCCCGCAAGCAGTAAACATGCCCTTGACTGGAATCGAATCTGGGACCCCTTAGTCCGCAGACCGACGCTCTATCCATTGAGCCAAACCGGTTTCGGCTTTAAAATATTTTTAAAATTAATTTCAGAAAGGAAGGGAGAGAGATAGAAACATCTATGATGAGAGAGAATCATTGGCTGCCCCATACTGGGGATTGATCCTACAACCTAGGCACATGTGTTCTGGTTCATAGGCTGATACTCAACTACTGAGCCACATTGGCTGGGCAAAGTTTTTGATTTAAAAAAAAGCCCAGTTTCTTTATTTTTGTTGTTGCTTATGCTTTTTTAAAAATTTATTTTTATTTTTTTTAATTTAATACTATATTTTATTGATTTTTTACTGAGAGGAAGAGAGAGGAATAGAGAGCTGGAAACATCAGTGAGAGAGAAACATCGATCAGCTGCCTCCTGCACACCCCCTACTGGGGATGTGCCCGCAACCAGTATACATGCCCTTGACCAGAATCGAACCTGGGACCCTTCAGTCCGCAGACCGATGCTCTATCCATTGAGCCAAACCGGTTTTGACTTGTTGCTTATGCTTTTGATATCATATTTAACAAACCATTTTCTATTCAAGATCCCCAAAATTTATGCCTATGTTTCTCTTAAGAATCTAATTCCATTTCTTGCAACTTTTTGTATATGATAGGTAGAGGTCCTATTTCATTCTTTTGTATGTGGATATCTACATTTATTGAAAAGACTATAATTTCTCCAAGTATTTTGGCATCTTTGATGAAAATTGTCAATGTGTGGGTATTTTCTGGATTCTCAGCTCTGTACCATTGATTTTTGTCTGTCCTTGTGCCAGTGTGCCAGAGCGTCTTGTTAACTAGCTTTGTGATAAGGTTTTTTTTGAAAAACATTTTTAAAAATTGATTTTAGAAAGGGAGAGGGAGAGAGAGAAACATTAATGATGAGAGAGTCATTGATGGGCTGCTTTCTGCACGTCCCCTACTGGGAATCAAGCCCACAACCTGGCATGTGCCCTTGACTGGAATCGTACTCTGGACCCTTTAGTCCACAGGCCAACACTCTATCCACTGAGCAAAACCAGCTAGAGCTGTGGTAAATTTTGAAATTGAGATATGTGGTTCCTTAAAATTATTTCATTTTTTTCAAGATTGGGACCCTCTGTTTCCATGTGAATTTTAGAATCAGCTGTCTATTTCCCCAAAAAAAGCCTACAGGGATTTTAAAGTTTCCATTTGCAAATCTTCTACTTCCTTCATTAAATTCATCTCTAAGCTATTAGAATTCAAATTTCATTTTTGGATTGTTCATTGCTAGTGGGTTTGTTTTTTTTTTGTATATTGACCTTATATTGTGTAATCTTGCTGAATTAATTCATTTTAGTATTTTGTGGATTTTTAAAAAATTATAAGATTATGTTATAAGCAAATGATGATAGTTTTAGTTCATCCTTTTCAGCTTGGTGTCTTTTATTTCTTCTTGAATAATTGATCTACCTAAAATTTTCAGTATAAAATTCAATAGAAAGGATGAAAGTAGACATTTTTGTCTTATTCCTATCTTTTTTTTTTTTTTTTTTTTTTTTTTTAAATATATTTTATTGATTTTGTACAGAGAGGAAGGGAGAGAGATAGTTAGAAACATCGATGAGTGAGAGTCATCGATCAGCTGCCTCTTGCACACTCCCTACTGGGGATGTGCCTGCAACCAAGGTACATGCCCTTGACCGGAATCGAACCCGGGACCTTTCAGTCCGCAGGCCGACGCTCTATCCACTGAGCCAAACCGGTTCCGGCCTTATTCCTATCTTAAGGAGAAAACATTTAGTCTTTTATCTTTAAGTACTGTGATAGTACTGTTGGTTTTTTTTGGAGATATATTTTTATCAGGTTGAGATATTGATATTAAAAAATCTTTTTAGATAAATTATAATATGCAGTCAAGAAAACCAATGATCTTAGTCAGTGTTTAAGGAACGAGGATAATTTGTCATATTATTCCTATTAAAATTTTATTAAAGAGTAGTGGAAAAGTTCAGAATCCAGTTTTTCTTTTATTAGATGAGTATCTTTTTCTTTTATATGATTAAGTTACAAATAGCATCTATAAAACTTATACTTAAAAATTTTTTTTTTATTGATTTCAGAGAGGAAGGGAGAGGGAGATAGAGATAGAAACATCAGTGATGACAGAGAATCATTGATCAGCTGCCTTCTGCATACCCCCTACTGGGGATCAAGCCAGTAACCCAGGCATGTGCCCTTGACTGGAATTGAACCTTGTACCCGTCAGTCCTCAGGCAAACTATCTATCCCAATCTGGCTAGGGTTAGAAAACTTATACTTTGAATGAATTATTTGTCCATGTTTTCAGACTGAAGAATGCCACGAAGAAAGAAAAAAATTAAAGAAGCCCCTGAAGCTCAGAGCTTAGAGAAGAAAGATGCAGAAACTTCCAGTCCTGTCAGTGTGAGGAGGAAGCGTAAACTGGAGGATGCACTCATTGTGATATCTGATAGTGATGGAGAGGTCAGTATTTTGAAGTGTGGAGTTCTAGGTCTCAAACTAGGCCTTGTTACCGAAGACTGGTTTGTGTTGTAACTAAACCTTAATGCCAGCTTGAAGACCTTGCAATTTTTACTCAGTTTCATTTTAATCATCCGTTATTTGAGTTCTTGCAATAGATTCTGAACTTGCTTCTGCTCCGTCAGCTTTTTCTCTCTGTATTTCACTTAGCTTACTCCAACTTCCTTTTAAGATTTTAGATTTTATATCTTTGTACTTGATTGCTTAAAAATTTGTGACTAATACCTACAAGATTAGTTTAGAACTTTAATACAGTTTACAGAACCTTCACAGTCTAATCTTACTTATATATATATTTTTAATATATTTTATTGATTTTGTACAGAGAGGAAGGGAGAGAGATAGAGAGTTAGAAACATCGATGAGAGAGAGTCATCGATCAGCTGCCTCTTGCTCACCCCCTACTGGGGATATGCCCGCAACCAAGATACATGCCCTTGACCGGAATCGAACCCGGGACCCTTCAGTCCCCAAGCCAACGCTCTATCCATTGAGCCAAACCTGTCCCGGCTAATCTTACCTATATTCTTATCAACAGTTTATTTCTTGTCCCCTTGCCAAGACTATTACGACTATTTTAAAAAAATATATTTTATTGATTTTTTTACAGAGAGGAAGAGAGGGATAGAGAGTTAGAGACATCGATGAGAAAGAAACATCAATCAGCTGCCTCCTGCACACCCCCTATTGGGGATGTGCCCATAACCAAGGTACATGCCCTTGACTGGAATTGAAACCGGGACCCTTCAGTCCTCAGGCCGACGCTCTATTCACTGAGCCAAACTGGTTTCGGCAACTATTAAAACTATTAAAGTTTTCCCCATTTGATGGTCAAAAAGTTTTATATTTTTAATCAGAAATATTGAAAATTTTTTCATAACTCTTATTGGATACCCTCCTATATAATAAAGAGGTAATATGCAAATTGATCATCATGCTCTCACAAGATGGTTGCCTATGACCAGGTTGGCAGGGGGAGTTAGTGAGAAATGACCAGACAACTGAACAAGCATGCTGTGTGGGTTGACCAGGCCGGCAGGGAGATTAGTGAGGGACGACCAAACGATTGAACAGCAGGTTGGCTAGGGTTGCCCCAGGCGATGGAGGAAGCCACGCTTCTGCAGCCCTGGCCCGCTCAGGGCTTCACTCCAGGCTACAAAGTTTCAATTATAGAAGATAAATAAATTCCAACAGAAATGGCTGCCTGCAGACCACCATAGGCCCCTTGCCCAGGCCACCCCACACCCCAAGGGAACCCCCACCTTGATCCAGGACATTCTTCAGGGCAGATCAGCCAGCCTCCACCCATGCGCTAGGCCTCTATCCTATCTAATGAAAGAGTAATATGCAGATTGACCATCACTCCAACAAACAAGGTAGCTGCCCCCATGTGGTCAAAGATCCTGCCCCCAAGTGGACTGAAGATGGCCACCACAAGATGGCCAGCAGGGGAGGGCAGTTGAGAGAGACCAGGCCTATAAGGAAGGGCAGTTGTGGGTGATCAGGCAAGCAGGGGTGGATACTTGGTAGGCATCATGCCTGCAGGGGAGGACAATTAGGGGTGGCCAGGTTGGCAGAGGGGGTTAGTTGGGGGCAAACAGGCTGAGGAGCAGTTAGATATCAGTCAGGCTGTAATGGGAGTTGTTAGGGGGTGATCAGGCTGGCAAGCGGAAGCAGTTAGGGGCAATCAGGAAGGCAGGCAGGTGAGCAGTTGGGAGCCAGCAGTCCTGGATTGTGAGAAGGATGTCCGGCTGCCTGTTTAGGATTGGGCCTAAACGGGCAGTCGAACATCCCTTGAGGGGTCCCAGATTGGAGAGGGTACAGACTGGGCTGAGTACGCCCCCCCCTTCCCGCCTCCGTGCATAAATTTTGTGAACCGGGTCTCTAGTACATATATATGTTGCACAACTGAGTCTTAGTGGTTAGGGAGTTCTACCAACATTTTTCTATAATCTACCTTTTCCTAAAGATTTGAAATTTTATCTTTATTATAAATTAAAATCTTATCTATAATTTTTTTGTTTTAGATTTTAAAATTTTGTTCTATTGATCTGTCACATATTTTTGGAATTGTTCAGTTATTATCTTGGATTATTTAGGTAGGCACTTGTATCTGCTACTAATGATCATTTTCTCTCTTCCTTTCTAGTACTTCTAGCTAATTTTTTTGTTTCATTGCATTGACTATAGCCTCCCGAATAATGTTTGTTGTTAGCAGTGATAGAGTATATCTTTATTTTGATTTTGAATTTAATTGTGGAAGTATTCTGATGTTATTTGTTTCTTATTTCTACATTTATTTATTAGAAATATCTTTTAATTGCTTATTTTTTATTAGTATTTTTAGGAATGGATGTTTAATCAAATGCCTTTTCATTATTTAGCCAGATGATGGCATAGTTTTCTTCCTTTAATTAACTATATTTTAATTGGTTAATATATAGTCTAATGTTGGAATATTTTTGCATTTCTGGAGAACATTTTACTTAGTATTACATTAACATAATATAGAAGTTACTTTTTCATATCATTTATGAGTTTTGCATTTATATTTCTAGTGGCATTGATTTTTATATAATTGTCCCCCCCCCTTTTTTTTTTTTTTTACTATATCAGATTTTAGTTTCAGATTTATGCTATAATATAGAAGGGAGCTTTTAATTTTCTTTTTATGTCCTATTGCAGTTTAGATAATAAAAGAATCTTCTGTTCTTTAAAGCATACTAGCACTTGCTCATAAAACTATCATACCAACTAATTTTTAATATACACTTCACGTTCTTTTCATGTCTTGGTATTTTTGTGCAGTTTTAAAAAGACTTTGTTGTTTTGTTTTGTCTTAGAATGTAAATGAGTAAATTGTATGTCATTCAGGAACATTCTGGCACAAGTTCCTTAATCTAGGAAATTTTCCTGTTGTTACTTCTAGCTACATAAAAATGTACAAGTTTAACCCTTTATGGTTTTAAACAGTTCAGAACTTAAAATGTTTGTCAAAAATAAAGCTGAAAGAATTTTTCTACCATCAAGCTTATCACACATTTCCTAAAAGTATTGCTGTGTTGCCAATATCTGTGCACTCATGAGGTTGCAATGAAAATATGTTGCTAGCTTTGTTTTATTAATTGATCTTCCACATCATGATTTGCTTTCTGAATATATTGAGCTATGTTGCCATTTGGAATATGGTACTTGAGCTACCTTCTTTGCTTCAGACTCACACGTTGTATCCAAGTAGACAACTTTGCGTCTTTAACTAATTTCTTTCTATATAGTTTTTTTCTTAGTAAATATAATATTTATAAGTACTAATTAGTACTTCAAAGTACTAATATTTATATATGAAGTATTAAGCATCTGTGTGAGCTTATTAATTTATACTCAGATTTTTTATTTATTTAGAACTTTATCTTCTATATAAATGTTTAAGTTTTCATAATTTTTTAGTTAGTATTTAGAAATAAGACACTATGGTTGTTATACTACATTATCAATTGTGGGTTTAAAACTGAACTCAATATGTGAAGGATCATACTTTTGAGTAAAACTAGAATTAAATTTTTGCCCTTCATTTCTTCACAATTACTTGGATCATTATTTTTTTTACTGCTATTGCTATTTCAGAAAGATTTGTGTTTTTTTGATGACAAAAGTCCAGTGAAGTTTGTTTGAAATCTGTAAATTAGGATTAAAAATAAATAATATAAAGTTTACTTTTCTCATTTACTAGTATTAAAGTATAACTTTAAAAATGGGCTTGATTAAAAATATAGTTAATATAAGTTATAAATAAATGTCTATATTTTCTTAGATATTTATATACTTTGGATTTTAACAAAGGTTAAAATAGCACGTATTATAATTTGGAGTTTTTGCAAATGACTAGCCTGCAGCTTTTCACCGTGTAAATCCTCTTATCCTGCATGGGTGTTGTAGCAATGTCAGATTGCTGTAAAAGTTTCTAAATGGTTATTCTCAATTTCTGTGCTTATTTTGTTGCAGACCAGAAACAATCAGTGTGCTGATTTTCATCTATAGATCATACTTTGAGTAGCATTAATTGAGGTTGTTTACAGTCTTTTACAATGGCAAAACATTCTACTCTGAACATAATTATTCACAAAGAGGCTAAATATCTGTAGAATAAATTCCTAGAAGTATATTGCTGAACGAAGAGCGTGTTGTATATTTATGATTTTAAAGGTTATTTCAATTTGTTCTCTAAACTAGAATATTGCATCCATTATATTCCATCAGAGTACCTATTTCCTCACAGTAATGTTTTATAAAATATTTTAATTTTTACCTAGTATAGGTAAAAAAAAAATATATATATATATTTATATATATATAGTATCTATAAAATTGTTTTGATTTGCATTTCCGAAGTGAAATTGAGCATCTTTTCATATACTTATGAGCCCCTTGGGTATGGTTTTCTAGGATGTGTCTTAATATGTCTTTTCCTATGAGAAGAGACTGAATATTGTTTTGTTAATTGATTTGTAAAAGGTCTTTATATATAGTCATGCACCACTTAACATCACATTCTGAGAAATGCATTTTTAGGAGATCTCGTGTGAATATCATAGAGTACCGTATACTTACACAAACCTAGTCTTACACACCTTAGGCTATATAGTATAGCTTATTGCTCCTAGGCTATAAACTTGTACAGCGTGCTACTATATAAAACACCACAAGACTAATCAAGAATAAGAGAAAATAATGCAATCAAGATATATGGTAAGCACGATGTATGAGGTTACTGCTGTTGTAACCTGGCATACTGTTTTACAGCAAACTTTTTTGGTAAGTAGAAGGAATCCTATATATAAAGAGGGAATATGCTAATTGACCTTCACTATGTCACAAAGATGGCTTCACCCACAGTTGAGGCCAAGTTCCCATAAGGAGCCTTAATGAGCAATCAGCAGGTACCTGAGGCTATGCCCTTCCCTCTCCCCCCAAGGGGCTTGACAGGGGCCTCAGGCCATGTCCTCCACCTGGCAGGGCTTGATAGGGGACCTCAGGCCTCATCCCCCGCCCTGGTATCAAAGTGGGGGACCTTAGGCAACCCCCCCCCCTTCCACCCCAGTGCCAGGTCAGGGGATCTGAACCCAAAACCTAGATATGTGTCCTGACCAGGAATCAAACCTGAAACCTTTTTTGTGTGTGAGACAATGATCCCAACTAGTGGTCCAATGCATAGATTTGTGCACATTGAAAAGAAATTAATTAGAAGAAATATTTTAATATCACTCCTCACCCTTTATAATAGAAGTGTCAGATTGATCATGTAGCCTTTTACACACATCAGCGAGTTCTTTATATTGTGCATGCATGAGTCATGTTTATTTTTAAATTGCCAGTGCTCATCATGTGTATCAACCCGACGGTCACTTAGCTTTTATATACATAGATAGTATGTACTATGCTTTTTTTTTTTTTTAATATATTTTATTGATTTTTTTTTACAGAGGAAGGTAGAGGGATAGAGAGTTAGAAACATCGATGAGAGAGAAACATCAACTAACTGCCTCCTGAACACCCCCTACTGGGGATGTGCCCGAAACCAAAGTACATGCCCTTGAGCGGAACCGAACCTGGGACCTTTCAGTCCACAAGCTGACGTTCTATCCACTGAGCCAAACCGGTTTTGGCTGTACTATGCCTTTTTTTTTTTTTTTTTTTTTTTTTTTTTTTATGACTGGCAGCAGTATAGATTTGTTTACACCAGCATCATCAAAACATGTAATATGTTGCATATGATGTTACATTGGCTGATGTCACTCAGTGATAGGAATTTTTCGCTCCATTATAATCTTATGAGACCACTGTAATATATGCAGTATGTTGTTGAGTTAAATGTCTTTACGCAATGTATGACTATAAGAGGAAAATTAGCCCTTTGACAAATATGTTGCTTACTTTCTCCAAGTTGTTCTCTTGCTTTTTGAAGTACTGATTAAAAAAATTTGCACTGAGTTAAAACATTATTATTTTTTAAACTTTCTTTTTTTTGGTTTTGTTAATCCTCATCCAAGGATATTCTTTCTATTGATTTTTAGAGAGGGAGGGTGTGGGAGAGAGATAGAGAGAAACATTGATGTGAGAGAAACATATGGATTGGTTGTCTCTTGATTAGGCATAATCAGGGATTGAACCTGCAACCCAGCTATGTGCCCTTGGTTGCGAATTGAACCCGCAACCCTTTAGTGCATGGGCTGACATTCTAGCCATTGAGCAATACCAGCCAGGGTGATTTTTAAACTTTCTTTTTTTTTTAAAAAATATATTTTTATTGATTTTTTACAGAGAGGAAGGGAGAGAGATAGAGAGCTAGAAACGTCGATGAGAGAGAAACATCGACCAGCTGCCTCTTGCACACCCCCTACCGGGGATGTGCCCGCAGCCAACGTACATGCCCCTGATCGGAATCGAACCTGGGACCTTCAGTCCGCAGACCGACGCTCTACCACTGAGCCAAACCGGTTTCGGCTGATTTTTAAACTTTCAATCAAGCCTTTTCTGAACTTGGGTGCATGCTTACTACTATTTTGCGGATAGTCTACATTTTACATGAGCATGTGTATGACAGATAATGTCAGTACATTAAATATTTTTTATTTTTGTGATATTTATTGATTACAGATTTACATTTTTTTTGGTACTGTAAAGGATCTTTTTTTTTTTTTAATTGATTTTAGAGAGGAAGGGAGAGAAAAACATTGATATTAAAGAGAAACTTTGATTGGCTGCCTCCTGAGTGCACCCCACCCAGGGATTGAACTCCAAACCTAGGTATGTGTTCTGACCAGGAATCAAACCTGAATCCTTTTTTGTGTGTGAGACAGTGATCCCAACTCACTGAGCCACCCAGCCAGGGCAGTACTATACAGGATCTTTTACTGATGTTTTCTGTGAATGTTTACAACCATTGATTCTTCAGAACCTCAGCAGCCTCCAAGATGTAGAAGAAATGGAAAGAGTACCACTTTTTATGGTAGCCATCCTGATCATATTTCTTTGTTTTGAAATAGGAACCACAGAAGGAAAATGGATTGCAGAAAATGAAGACAAAACAGTTGAATAGAGCAAAGTGTTTGGCTAAAAGAAAAATTGCACGTATGTTTTTGTTTTTGTGTTAAATTGATTAGAAATTATAAGTCATAGTGTTGTACCAAAAAAAGGAGAAAGTCTTTATTTTTCCATTGTTCCAAATGTTCCCTTTCAGCCATTTTAAGTACTCACAAATTATACAAGTTTTCTTGATATATACTATCTAGTTTTGTTTCTGGATTATTAATAGTCTGTTTGCATGTCTCAGTGGGAGATTAACCTGAATGTTGGAAGATGTTAATTATTGTAAATTATAACCAGCATAAACAGCTTCACACAGATTTTCTACTTCTCTTGTTTAGCTTAGCAGAATCATTTGATAAGGTAATATTTAATGCTGATAAGGTTGAAACTTGCTGACATTTTCCTTAAGGGAGCATGTTCCCAGGTGTGATTCTAATTTTTTTCTTTTTCTGGTTGAGTTTTTATCTAGTAGAGAGGTAAGGTAAAATGTTTTAGTAAACAGCAGTGTTTATTGAACTTTAGTCTTAGAACATGTTGATATTTGAAAATAACAGATAGTAACTAGTGAATGAGAGTGTCCTTTTAATTCTGAGTGGTTAAAGTAAATTTTTAATGGTGGCTTTGTCAAGTTATGTGGCTCTGTGTTGTCAGTGAAATATACATCAAATGATTGAGTTCAATAATTGAAATTGAAGTTTTGAGTTTCTTTAAATAATATATAATAACAAATAATTTAACTATGATTATTATTTTAAATATATTTTTATTGATTTCAGAGAGAAAGGGAGAGAAATATAAAAATATCAATGATGAGAGAAAATTATTGATTGGTTGCCTCCTAAATGCCCCCCCAACTGGTTGTTCTAGTTTTGGCCAGCGAGAACCTTTTACTCTGGCTCTTAAAAGTTTTTTGATATGACCCTGGTAGTATTTTATAGCTTTCTTGTTCACAGATATGACAGATACTCTAGCTCATCTTCTACATTTCTAGCTACAGACTTTGAATCACCCATTTCTACTAGGTACCCCAGTTGCTTTTAATAGGAAATGATGTTTGGAGATCACATTCTCGTCACTTTGGAAAGTCTTTTCTAATGGGTAAACGGTCCCATCAAGAGGATTATAATTGAGTAAATTATTCTGGTTAAATGTCGAGCATAAAGCAGTGTGATTGGTAGGTAGCAAAAAGTCCTGAAAGCCTGTTCCTCTGTTTATTCATTCACCAAATATTTGAGAATCTACCAGTTGCTAGGTATTATTTTTTGTACAGAGGTGGACAAAAGTAGATTAATAATAAAAAATAATACAATAATAGTAAATAAGTAATACAAGAATAAACTGTTTCACGTACTCACAACTATAAACCTTTTGCCTACCTTTGTATGCTGGAGACATAACAGTGAACAAAATAGGCAAAAACTGCCTTCATGGGAGCTCACAGTCTAGTTAATCCAGGATTCTTGTAACTTCTGCTGCTGATCTTGGCCAATATCTTACTTTTGGGGACTTTCCTCATTTATAAGATTATAAAATTGTATTACATGGTCTGTAGTGTTTCACTTGAAAAGTTTAATAATTCTATTCCTTGCCTCCATGCTTATTCATTGTTTGTGGTATCCCTCCCCTCTCTTTCCCTGCCCTTCTACAGAAATGACAGAAGAAGAACAGTTTGCTCTGGCTCTCAAAATGAGTGAGCAGGAAGCTAGGGAAGTGAACAGCCAGGAGGAGGAAGAAGAGGAGCTCTTGAGGAAAGCCATTGCAGAAAGCCTAAATGTAAGCATGCTAGGCTGAAAAAGTTTGTGAGGATTGATAAGCGATACTTTTTCTTCTACAGTGTTATGGTTGCATTAGATTCTAGCTGTAGTAGTGCATAGGATTTTCAACTAATAAATATTCCCACAAATTTTAAAGTCCATGTTGAATTGTTGATAAACCTAATTTGAAGTGTTTTGCTAATTCTATATGAAAGAGTTTTCTTCCATCTCACAGATTTTCAGTCCATGGCTTAGGAGAACCAAAGTGGTTGGCAGCTCCTGAAAAGAATTAATAAGAAACCAAAAGTACTTACCTCCCCTGTTTTGTGGAGAGAACAAAGAGAATGAGAGCTAGCTGTGGGTTACAGAGAGAAAGAATGGATAGTTTTAAAATGTTTCAAATAATATTAAATTGTGATTTGAATAAGTGTAATTGAAATTGGATATTTACCAGTGGCAGGTCCTGAGCCATTTATGCCATCTACTTCTCTATATTAGAAAAGGGTTTAGTATAGGACCTAAGATAGTACTTTGCACATAGTAAGCATTCAGTATGAATTGTGGAATTCATTTGGATTGTGCATCTACATTTTATTTTATTTTATTTTTTAATATATTTTATTGATTTTGTACAGAGAGTTAGGGAGAGAGATAGAGAGTTAGAAACATCGATGGGAGAGAGTCATCGATCAGCTGCCTCTTGCACACCCCCTACTGGGGATATGCCCGCAACCAAGGTACATGCCCTTGACCGGAATCGAACCCGGGACTCTTCAGTCCCCAAGCTGACGCTCTATCCATTGAGCCAAACCGGTTTCGGCATGAATTGTGCATCTATATTTTAAAGAGGAGACTCTGTTAGCGACAGTGGCCTCCCCTTTTTGTTGTTGCTGTGACCCTTCAGGTGTAGCTATTTTAATAATAAACTTGGTCTGGTTTGGGATTACTTATTTCAGAGTTGCCGGCCTTCTGATGCTTCTGCTACCAGATCTCAAGCTCTGGCCGTTGGACCATCTTCACAATCCCACCAAGAGAAAACCAGAGACTCTGGGACCACTGAAGGCATGTCACCCTGTTCTGCTCCTTGTACTCATCAAATATAACCATATTATAGGGATCTCATACTGAGAGTAGATATACTGAAATTCCCTAAATTTCTTTGGTGGTATTAAAGAGGTTAAATCAGAAAGTAGTTGAGATCTCACTAATATCCAGCATACTTTTATCTCCAAGGAAAAGCCAACAGTTGGTTAAACCCAAGGAAAAGCCAACGGTTGATTAAACCCAAAGAAGAGCCTTTTTTACCCACATTATGTAGTTCTTGGTAAGTGAGAACTTACCAAGCCCTCTTAATTAAAAACAGTTTGTCCTTAGCCCTACTTTTTCTCAAATACCTACAGGCATATGGCAGCTGGTACCTCCATCACTGTTTAAAGGCTCACATGTCAGTCAGGGAAACGAGGCTGAGAAAAGAGAGGAGCCTTGGGACCACACTGAAAACACTGAAGAGGAGCCGGTCTCTGGCAGCTCAGGAAGCTGGGACCAGTCAAGCCAGCCAGTGGTTGAGAATGAGAACGTTAAATGTTTTGACAGATGCACTGGCCACTTGGCTGAGCACACACAGTGTGGGAAGCCACAGGAAAGTACTGGGAGAGGATGTGATTTTCACGAAGCTGCCCAGGGTAGGGGGGACATATCTAGGCACTTTCTGCCTGCCTCAGCAGATGCCAAAGGTATCCAGAACAGTGGGGGCACTGTGCACTACTTCTGGGGTATTCCATTTTGCCCAGCTGGAATAGACCCTAACCAATATACCAAGGTCATTCTCTGCCAGTTGGAGGTTTATCAAAAGAGCCTGAAAATGGCTCAGAGGCAGCTCTTAAAAAAAAAAGGATTTGGGGAACCAGTGTTACCTAGACCTCCTTCTCTGATCCAGAATGAATGTGGCCAAGGAAATCAGGCTAGTGAAAAAAATGAAGGCATCTCAGAAGATATGGCAGATGAAGACAAAGAGGAGGAGAGGCAAGAGTCTAGGGCATCTGTCTGGCACTCAGAAACCAAGGATTTCCAAGAAAGTCCAATTAAAAGCTTGAAAGAGAAACTTTTGTTGAAGGAAGAATCAGCAACCAGTCATGGTCAGGTAAGGGTCAGTGATACTATGATTAAGGATGATTTATTCACAGATTAAATAAAGATTTTAGCTATGCTTTTTGTGTTTTCCCCCTTTATTTTTTTCTCTTTCCCCCCTCTTTTATTTAAAAAAATATATATTTTATTGATTTTTTACAGAGAGGGAGAGGGATAGAGAGCTAGAAACATCGATGAGAGAGAGACATCGATCAGCTGCCACCTGCACCCCCCACCGGGGATGTGCCCGCAACCATTGTACATGCCCTTGACCGGAATTGAACCTGGGACCCCTCAGCCTGAAGACCAACGCTCCATCCACTGAGCCAAACCGGTCTCGGCATCCCCTCTTTACTTTTAATGAAACACATGCCCATTATAGGAAATTAGGAAACGACAAAAGAGTGTAAAGAAGAAAAAGTTATCCATAATCCCAGCATCTAGAGAGGCAATCATCATTTCTGTGCATATAAAAATATTTTTTCTGTTTATTTTTTCAACAAAATGGAAATTCTTCTGTATAAACTTTGTTCCTTTTCCTTCCCCACTTAATAGTTTATCTTAGATCTTTTATTTATTAACTATACTGAAAAACATTTTATAATATGAATGTACCATAATTTATTTTTTGTGTTTTAAAATGTACATTATTTTTAAAAAGTTTAGTTTTTGAATGGGTAACAGTGTTCACATGGCTTAAAATTTAAAAAGATAAAAATAAACTATCTGTCTTCTGTTCCTATCCCCAGCCAACCAGTTTCCTCCCTGGATCAACTTTTATGCCTAGTTCTCTAGTGCGTCCTTTCAAGAGATTTTGTGTAGTGCTAGTATAAGCAACTTCCTTTACCCAGATCATGTTATACTCTACACATTATTATGCTCTGTGGTTTTTTTCATTTAATATCTCTATGAGATCATTCTATAACAGTACATATGAGAGTTTCTCTCTTTTTTGGATGTGTAACACACCATGTATGGGTGAGTTTTATTTTATCCAATGTTTAGGTTGATACCAATATTTTACTACTATTGCAGTGATTACTGTTGCACAGAAGATGTTTCATTCATGTGGGAGATATTTGTACAATAATTTGTTGTAGAAATAATTGGTGGGTCAAAAAAAAATATATATATGTATTTACAGTTTTGTTAGCTATTGTAAAATTGCTTATTGATAGGGGTTGTATAAATTTACACTCACTGCAGTGTATGAGTACAAACTTCTCCATACCCATACCAATACATTATTATCAGACCTCTTGATCTTTGTTAATTTGAGAGATGAAAAATATTATCTCAATGCAGTTGTAACTTTTATTTTTCTTACTATGTGTGTAGTTGAGACTCATTTGAATTTCCTTTTCCTTTTTCTTTTTGACCATTTTTTTCCTTAGTGGTTTGTAGGCACTCTTTATGTATTAGGATCACATGAAGTACATGTAATTTTACAGTTTATTCCTCCTTCCACCCCATTATGGTCTATTTCCAAGTTTGCTTGTGGTAATTTTTAATAATTTACTGAAAACAGTCCCTTGTTTGGGGATGTTTCGATTGCCTTTTTAGTTTTTTTCTGACATACCTAGATTGTATTATATATAAAAACTTATATTCAGTTTTGTTCTCTGAATAATATAAAAGCAGTCATATGATTTTTTTATACACTATAAATAGAAAGAGTATTTTGTTTTATGACTATACTGTTCCTTTTTGCTATTTCTGTTTTCAGTTTTGTTTTGCTGTTACCCTTTTTGCTCTGTCTCTTATGATAAGGGTTCTAGAAATGATTGCTATGAGAAATTTCATAGCACAGTGCACAGAGTATGGATTTGAAGTTTGAATTTTTACTTTTTTGTTTTAGTAACTGTGTACCTTTGAGCAAACCACTTAACCTTCTGAATCTGTTTTTTACATCTGTAACATGGGAATAGCAAGTCAGTAGTTTAATGATTAAAGTGAATTGTCTAGCCAAAGCCGGTTTGGCTCAGTGGTAGAACTTCCGTCTGTGGACTGAAAGGTCCCAGGTTCGATTCCCGTCAAGGGCATGTACCTTGGTTGTGGGCACATCACTTGGTAGGGGGTGTGCAAGAAGCAGCTGGTCGATGTTTCTCACATCGGACGTTTCTAGCTCTCTATCTCTCTCCCTTTCTCTCTGTTAAAAATCAATAAAATATATTTTAAAAAATAAAAAAAAATGAAGTGAATTGTCTAAAGTACCTAGTATATTCGATAAATGGTAGTTCTCTCTAAGGGACTAGAGGGTCATTCACTGAGGCTACCTTCTGGGAATCATTATTGCCAGAATCATTATGGGAAAATTGCTGTATGTGAAGAAAAAGCATTTTTTTCTAACAGTACTCCTAGTGATTTGACTCTTTTTCAAATGAAAGGTAATGTTTATAATAACATGTTTTGTTTTTAGTTTTTTTGCAATGTAGAGATGCTTCCCCTTAAAAGAATAAACTAACTCTGCAATGATTTATTGTAACTCAAGTTGTTAGCTTGAAAGATTTTAGGGGCCAGAGTTCTAGAGCATAGACTTGTCAAGTTCTAAGTTTGAAACAGTGTCTTTGGAATAGCATGGACGTGGTCAGACTTTAGTGGGTAGCCTTAATAGATTGAAGTTCTTTTACTTCATGAACAGGCCTCAAAATACTACAAATATTAATTGGTACTATTTGGTTATAACAAATAAAATCAAGCTATCCTAATTAAGAAGAAGACTTTATCATAAGGAAACATGGTACCTCATAAATTTTAAAAGAGGATCATAACCAGTCTGGAGAAGATACTGAGTCTAGAAAATCATCTAATTTTTATGTATCTCAATGCTATATTGTATCTACTTCATTCTCCCCCATCCCCCACAGACTGTCTTCCTTTGCTTCTGTCTTTCACATGGTAGGTGGAAAATACTGATCCTACATAGCTCTCAAACTTAAATACAGATTACAGGAGATTTACTTTCTCCCAGTTCAATTTCATATTTCTAAGAAAGGAACTTATGGCCCATTTGATGTTAATAGCTCTCACCAGAACAGTTGGCTGTGGCCTGAAGTGGGTATGTGTCACATTGTACAAATGGCTATGATGCTGTAATGCAGTGGTTGGGGTGAGGGGCAGTCTTCAGTGAAAAGAGACCAGGTAGACAATCTAGTGAGTGTCCTGTGCAGTCATTAACATTAATTTTAGAGATCACTTAGAACTATTGAAAAATGTTCAAAAATTTTTAGAATAAGGCTGACAGCCTGATAATCCTACCACCTAGTGATGTATTCCTTCTTTTTTTCTGTATAATTTTTGTGTTTTAAAGTTAACATGTAAACATTTTCTTATGTTAAAATGATAGATTTCCATTTTTAATGATTAACATTCTGGCTTATGAATTTTTATTTTTAAAAATATATTTTATTGATTTTTTACAGAGAGGAAGGGAGAGGGATAGAGAGAAACATTGGTGAAAGAGAAACATCAATCAGCTGCCTCCTGTACACCCCCTACTGGGGATGTGCTCGCAACCAAGGTATATGCCCTTGACTGGAATCATCAAACCTGGGACCTTTCAGTTTGCAGGCTGTCACTATCTACTGAGCCAAACTGGTTTCGGCTGGCTTATGAATTTTTAAACTATGATGAATTTTTAAACTATTTTTCTATTGCTGGATATTTTGATTGTGATAAACATCTTTCTAAATATAATATAAATATTTTCTTTACTTAAAATTAGTGTCTTTAGGGATAAGGAACCAGAAAAATGTTGGATTAAAGAGTTATAAACAAAAAGGTTTGTTATTTGTTGCCAGATTGCTTTTCAGAAAGCCTGCTCAAATTTATACTCGTTCCATCCAGCTGTGTATCAGAATACCTACTTCACTGCAGTTTTGCCAACATAGAATAGTATCTTTAAGAAATAAACAACAATAAACTTACTAATTATATAGGCAAATAATGAAAGTGTTAAATAATTTCACCTCTTGTCTTGGTTTTTGGCTTTTAGGAACTGTGGTAGAAAGAATTTATATTTTTGTTAAATATTTTCTATTGATTTTTATTTTGCTGGAGTTGTCCACATTTGAGACTACTTGGTTGATAGAGATAGCAAGATAGTCCCAGAAATAGGGATTCAGAAAAATATTCACCCTGAGGCAGATCGCTTACTCTATATGAAGGCTATAAAAGCTTTAAAATCAGATGTTAATTGGTTTCTGACATCACTGAGATAATTGGGAAATTGTTAATGAAGATGGAGTGATTATTTTGATAACTGATGAGCAGGGAAGTAGAGGATAGTATATTAATGTGTTCATTATTTTTCAATGTCTGATTTTAATTTTTTCAGTTCAGAGACTGGAATTTGTTTTCCAGAAATGATCACATTGTATGTGGGTATGAGAACTAACTTGACTAACCAAACTTCTATCTGACATGAGCACCAAATGACAGTTTGTTAATTTATTTTGGAAGAGAGACATTTTTAGTGACTGGAATACTCAGGTCCATCATCTATTGTATCTCTTTCTAGGATGAGGTATGTGGAAAGCTGAAATAGTCATCAGAAAATGGAAATTTTAAGAGATGATTCAACTAGTCTAGGGAAAGACTACCAGTGCCTGACAACAGAGGATATTTTTATGGTGACCAGATGATATGTCCATTCACTTTCACTTCTCAGGCCATGGTGTTAATGGCACTGCTTGAATCTAGATCTTTGAATCTTTCTTTTGTAAATATTTTGGTAAACTATCCTTTTCCCATTAACTTATTTCTTCAGGCAGAGAGCTGTCTTGATTATACCACATTTTCCTTAGTTAAAGTTATATTGCTATCATGCTTTCCTGTACACCTTGATTAAATTTGGGTGTTTTAATTGCATTTTGTTTGCTTGTTTTACTGTATTGTTTTCATATTCTGGAAGAGCCTCACATTACCCCTTTCTTCAAATTATTGCTATTGAGGTATAAGTTTAGAAATTAAAAATGGTTTATTGAAATGAAGACATTCTTGGGATATGATGAAATGATTGGAAAGAAGATCATTTGAGTAAACAATATAACAGTACTGGTTAGAGCATGGATTTTGGAGTTAGACAGGTCCAAGTTTCATTTTTGACCAAGTCTGTGATTTTGGGCAAATTATTTAACCTCTCAAATTGCATTTTTCTCATTTCTAAAATAATTTATTTCCTCAGAAGTTTCTTGTTAGGACTAAAGGAGATAATGCATGTGATTAGGACTAAAGGAGATAATGCATGAAAATATATACTGTGCATAAATAGGCGCACAATATATATTTTAAAAAACTTACTCTGGCAAAGGTAGAGATGCTTTAACCTAAGGCAGAAGTGGAGGTATCTTATAACTTCTTAGTGCTTTGATTGCTTCTGAAGCCCAAGGCTTAGTCAACAAATCATTCTTAGAAGGTAAAATTCTATTAAATGGACACTAGGTGTCAGTATTTACCTTTTAAAAAAGCATTTTTTTTTTTTAATTGCTTTTAGAGAGGAAGGGAGGAAAAAGAGAGAGAAACATCAATGATGAGAGAGAACCATTGATTTGTTGACTTTTGCACGTCCCCTACTGAGGATCAAGCCCACAACCCAGGCATGTGCCCTTGACTGGACATGTGCCCTTAATGGGAATTGAACCTGGGATCCTTAGGTCTACAGGCCAATGCTCTAGCCACTGAACCAAATCGACTGGGCAATATTTACCTTTTTTGAGGTTTCAGGAATGAAACTGGTTTTTCTCTACTGAACTCAACAAATATGTGACATATTTATTACTATTGTATTTTAGTACTTCTGACAGCTTCGTTCAACCTTTATTTTTCATAATGGCTACATTTTTTATCACAGCTTTATCTTCCCTTTAACTGAAGGGATTCCTGTTTTTTAGTATATTTCTTCATTTTCCTGGGTAGTAAAGAGATGGCTAAACTTGTTTAGGTTATTTATATCCTCTATGAGACCCTCTAAACTTCAGCCAATAGTTTTACATCTATTGGAAGAAGCCTTACAGTTAGGAACATCGGTTGGAAGAAGCCTTACAGTTAGGAACACTTCCTCAGAAACCCACCTAAGTTAGCAATAGCTGCTTTTTCTGTGCTCTTCTGTGCACCTATATTTAATGAGTAGACATTTGCAACAACTACCATTAATCAAAGAAAATAGTCTTTTTCTTATCCAGTATCTGTCGTATTTCATTTAAAAAATATATCTTTTATTTTAATTTATTTATTTTGTTAATCCTCACCCAAGGATATTTTCCCATTAATTTTTATAGAGAGTGAAGAGAAAGGGACAGAGAAACATTGATGTGAGAGAAACACATCGATTGATTGTCTCCCACACAAGCGCCGACCAGGTCCTGGGCCGGAGATGAGCACGCGATGAAAGTAACTGCCCTTGACTGGAATTGATCCCAGGACCCTTTAGTCCACAGGCCAACGCTCTATCCACTGAGCCAAATTGGCGAAGGCTATTATATTTCTTAAAAGATATCCTTGTAGCCAGACACCAAAACCATAGTGGCAGATTTCTAGTAAAAGAAATATTTATAACCTTCCTTTTGGAATGCTCTGTGTTATGTCTGTTGTGTTCAGAGAGACGTTTTTCATGGATTGCAGTATTTTTCCCAACTCTCTATTTCCACTGAAAACTGGATTTTTCTCTATATCTCCTCTTCCCACAACAAAAGCTTTATACGTAACTGCTTTACTGAAATCATAATTTGACTCACCATTATTTATGTCTTGTATTTACAAAGTGCATCACATATCTTGTTTAATTCTCATAGCACTCTGTGAGGCAGTCGTTAAATATATTGTTATTTTTCAGAGAGGAAGGGATAGGGAAAGACAGAAACATCAATGATGAGAGAGAATCATTGATCAGCTGCCTCCTGCATGCTCCCTACTGGGGATCAAGCCCGCAACTCAGGCATGTGCCCTTGACCGGAATCAAGCCTGGGATTCTTCAGTCCATAGGCCAGTGCTCTGTCCACTGAGCCAAACCAGCTAGGACTAGGCAATTGTTAATATTATTTTAAGATGAGGAAACAGCCAGGCCAGTGTTGCTCAGTGATTGAGCATCAACCTTTGAACCAGGTGGTCATGTTTTGATTTGATTCCCAGTCAGGGTACATGCCTCAGTTGCAGGCTTGGTTCACAGAAGGGGGCATGCAGGAGGCAGCTGATAAATAATTCTCTTATCATTGATGTTCCTACCTCTTCTTTCTTTTCTGAAATCAGTTAAAAAAAATAAAAGGCTAAGTGTCCTTCTGACCATCCGACCAGTAGCTATGACATGTACTGACCACCATGTACTGTTTTCTGATTTAGCTAACTTTTTCCAGCCCACGAAGCACCCCAATTTCTCTTTTAAGTAATTGTCAGCAACACAGCAGTAAATATCAATACGATTGGGAATATGATTGACTCTTGAGAAAGGGCAAATAGCGATATTAAAATATTCTAATTAATTTCCTTTCAATGTGCATGAATCAGTGCACCGGGACACTAGTATATATATTAAAAGATAAAGAAACAAAGTCAGATGTGACTTACTAAAAATTACAGAGTTAACAGGTGATTCACCCATAATTTAAATTTCAGTCTTTTGTCTCCACAAGATACGTTCTTTTGGCTGAAACTTATTGACAATGTAATACGTTATTGTTAACTGCTGAGTGATAATGTTGAACAACAAGGTGTGTGTGTGTGTGTGTGTGTGTGTGTGTGTGTGTTTTATAGGAAGAGAAACTAGTTCATCTGTACCTGTATATTTAGGATGTTATGTATTTCTTTGCAGTCTTCCCAAGGTCTATTTGCTGAGGAAACTTCTGAAGAAGGAAACTCTGACCCTGCCCCACAAAGGTAAGATTATATGTTATGGGTCTGAATTCTCCTCTATTGATGCCAGAATAAGAGAGCTGAACCACATGAGTAAGACTTGGGGGACAGCTTGCTAGGGATCTTTTAGCTATTTTATAAGCATAGACTAGGAGAAATCTTTATTATTATTTTTTAAAATCAATCTTTATTGTTCATATTATTACAAAGGTTCCTCATTTCTTCCCCCCTCCACCAGGTTCCCACCCCACCCTTCACTCCCTCCCTATCCCCCATTGTCCTCATCCATAGGTGCACAGTTTATGTTCAGTCTCTTCTTCCCTCCCTTTCCCCGATAGTAAATCCCTTTTCAGATAGTAAATCAGTTACTTAGCATTTTCTCATATCAATAATACCTCCACATGCCCAATGATACACTTCATACAAAAGACATTTCCCAATAGGTCAACTAGCCTCATCCAGGCCCCACTCAAGGCACTCACAGATCAACACCCCAGCCCTATACTAACTCAACACTTCCAGATCTAAGCCTTCATCACTTGATTCAGCAGACTCTCAAGTTACCGCGAAAGTTTCCAGCCATGTCTGAGAGGCAGCCGTGGGGCAGAGGCAGGCGAGGAGCGAGCTGTTTCGGGCCTGGCTGCTCAGGGCCTGGCCTCTGTTGCTCTGGTTCATTCCACAACCAGCTGCTCCGGGTCTGGTCACTGCCTCTCTCGACCTAGTTGCTCTGGACTTGGCTGCTGCTGCTCCGGGCCTGGCCGCTCCCAGCCTGGCAGCCGCTGCTCTGGGCGTGGCCGCACCCGACCCGGCTGCTCTGGGCCTGGCCGCTCCCAGCCTGGCAGCCGCTTCTGCTACTTTTTTCTTTATTTGGTTGTTGACCTTTGGTGATGACTTCATCTCCTATGTGGAAGTTGAGACCCAGTTGCCATTTGCTGTAATTTAGTTGGTGTTCTTAGGTTTTTGGTTAATAGTACCTACTAGGTATTTCTTCTTGAGCTGAAGAATATGGCTTTGGTTTGATTCTCCTGCTAAAACAGTTTTGGAAGTGGTTTTAACTGGAGTTCTGCTTCCTACAGGCCTCTCTGTTTTGTTATAGTGAGCCTTGTGCAGAGCAGATGTAGGTTTTAATAAATGATTATACGCTTTGTCACCAGGAGAGAGTTGGAACTGCAGGCAATGTGGTTTGACTTTAAATTGATTAGCCCATTTTATAAATGTCAGCAAATTGTTTTGTGATGGACCCTTTGAATAGAGTCCTAATGTTACATGTAGAGTAAACTGTATCTGGTTTGGGTTTATAACAAATGGTATGAAATACTTTATTTAGAGAAATAAATCACTTGTGGTTTTCTATCAAGGTTTAGTTATTTATCACAAATCAGTGGTGGTTATTTTCTTTTCTCTGTGGTTGATGTGAGGATTTGTGTCCTCTTGTATACTTGATCAAACTAATCGTAAAGCTCTATGGAGCATGAGGGGGCTAGCTCAGATCTCTTAGCCATGTGTTCTGTGTCAGGAAGAGATTGCACTCCATGAACAGGCAGGGAAACCAGAAGGTCAGATGAGGGGAGCCATTCATAATTATGTTTTTCTCAGAAGAGATTTTCAACTTCTGTGGAGTTAGGAATTGTATCTTATTTTTGTTGTCTATAAAGCCACATCTTGAGATAGAGTTGAAATTTAACTGCAAGTGTGTTGTCAGGAGAATCTTCATATTTTCTCTTACTAGCTTACAAATCTCTAGCCTTCAGAAGGCTGAGATGGAGACTCTGAAACACCTTTGACATCCTTTTATTGGGAATGGAGTTTTTGTCTTCTGTGATCTTCATAGATAGTCCTTACCCTTCAACCTTTCTTTGTGAAGACTCCAAAAGGGTATACTTTTCATTTAGAGATTTCACTTGAACCAAAGTAATAAGCATGTTTGTTTCCTCTATTTCTGGCCTGCTTTTCACTACTGATTTCTTGCTTCCCTGTTGTGCTTTTTTTTAGTATTGGACAGCAGGTATCAGATAACCAGTGGCTTTGTGAATAATTCACCATTGCTTTAGGTGCTGTGTTCTGACTTATTTTATTGGCAATTCACTTGAGGTTTGGTTCCTTTTCAGCATTGCTGCTTTGACTAGTAAGAGAAGCTTAGTCCTTATGCCAGAGAGTTCTGCAGAGGAAATCACTGTGTGTCCTGGTAAGTATCCCACTGTGGTTTTACTGACTTTCTGATCCCTAGCTATCTTTGTGCCTATTAATTTGTCTGACTTTTCCATCCCACTCCCAGGAGGTTTATGTGTGATTGATGTGTGTGTGTGTATCACCACACACACACACACACACACACACATATATATATATATATATATATATATATATATATATATATATACACACACACTTTTTTCTCATGAATATTGGCTCTGATTCTCACTCAACCTTTTCCCAAAGATATTTGAGTTTTGAAATTAACATGGCTTGTTTGTCTTGTTTGCTGACTAGCCTCATCAGAGATGGCAGCAAAGCATCAGGAATACCACTTAATTGTACATTCAGAGCCTAGAGGACTTTATGTTTTGGTTTATGGATTCTCAAAGTTGGGCTTATCTTAAATCTGCCTGTCGTTGAGCAAATTTTTCTGAGGCTTTTACTAGTTAGTTTTACATTGCCACCCCACAGGATATTATTGCATAGGGAATAAAAAAATTGAATTTTCGTGCATAGTTCTATTACTGACTTATATTTTAATCTCAGACAAGACACTTAACCTTGTTAAGTTCTGTACTTTGGTTTTGTTAATTATAGAGATGCAAAGACATGTGTACCTTGCTTTAGGTATAAGAGCTGTTCATTAAAAAGTGCACAGCATAGATTTTGATATATAAATAATTTTAGATGAACTAAGGTACCTATGGTCTAAGAGAACTCTTGGGTTGAACAGTATGTACTGTGAAGAATTATTTTGTGATATAAACCACTATTTTCTAAGCAATTTGTTTTAGCTTGTATTATTATTATTTTTGGCTTTTCTTAAATGTGGGGCCCATTATTTTTATCATAACCTACTTCATGTGAGATTGAGTTACTGTCTATTAATGTTTAAACTTTTGAGCAGCAAATATTATACAAATATTATAAATCATACCTAGTTTTCTCCTAGGTCTTATTTAACCTGACAGAGTCAGAAAGGTTAATATAAACTAAGTTTGAGTTTTTGTGGGGAAAAATTTGAAAGAAATAAGAAAAAGAAAACTATTAAGTAAACATTTTTAAACATTTGGCAGCATATCATTAAGGGACTTTCTTCACTTAATTAATTAAATTTTTATATATATTTTGTTGATTTTTTACAGAGAGGAAGGGAGAGGGACAGAGTTAGAAACATCGATGAGAGAGAAACATTGATCAGCTGCCTCCTGCACACCGATGTGCCTGCAACCAAGGTACATGCCCTTGACTGGAATCAAACTTGGGACCTTTCAGTCCTCAGGCCAACGCTCTATCCACTGAGCCAAACTGGCCAGGACTTCTTTACTTATTTTAAAGTTTAAATATGTTAGGTTTTTAAAATATATATTTTTATTGATTTTAGAGAGAGGAAGAGAGAGAGAGAAATAGAAACATCAATAGAAATATTAATCGACTACTCCTGCATGCCCCTAGTGGGAATTGATCCTGTAATCCAGGCATGTGCCCTGACTAGGAATTGAATGGGGGACTTCTTGGTGCCTGGGGCAACACTAACCAACTAGCAACATTGGCCAGGCTCTATGTTGGTTTTTTATTGAAAGTGGTTTTTTTGTTTGAAATGTAGTTGGATTACTGCCTACTAAGAAACTCCACTATCTTGTGCTCCAGTTTTGGCAAGAACACTTAGAAATGCTGTGCTATCTTTGTGAAAAGAAAGCTTTATCCCCCTCTCTGTCTGGGACTTCTCCCTTATGCCATTCTGCTCAGAGTCAGACTGTCTGTTTAGTATGATGGCATATAATGCCACCCTGGGATCTTGAAGGAAAATTGTATTGCAAATACAATAATATATATTTTTAAATATATTTTATTGATTTTGTTCAGAGAGGAAGGGAGAGAGATAGAGAGTTAGAAACATCGATGAGAGTCATCGATCAGCTGCCTCTTGCACACCCCCTACTGGGGATATGCCCGCAACCAAGGTACATGCCCTTGACCGGAATCGAACCTGGGACCCTTTAGTCCCCAAGCCGACGCTCTATCCATTGAGCCAAACCGGTCTCGGCAATATTTTTTTTTTTTAAACATTTTGTTTGTTTGTTTGTTTTATTGTTTTTCATTTTAGAGAGAGGAAGGGAGAGGGAGAGAGAGAACATCAGTGATGAGAGAGAATCATCAATCAGCTGCCTCCTGCACACCCCATACTGGGGATTGACCTGGAATCAAACCCTGATTTCCTGGTTTAGGGGTCAATGTCCAACCACTGGATCGAACTGGCTAGGGCCTAATACAATAATCTTGAAAGCCCTAGTAAATAAGAGAGGAAAAAGCAAGCCCTTTATGACTGAGGTTAGATAACTTTTAGATCATGACTGTTATCACTAGTCTGTTAATTAAATCCAGCTTTTTGCTGAGACAACCACTTCTAAAGTAGATCACAAAAGGTTTTCATAACTTGTTCCTTTTGCTAAGAAAGTATTAACTCCTTCATGGAACTGGACTCCTGAGTGTCTGAACACACACACGCACAATTCTAAATATATAATTTAAAATCTGTGCATTTAAATTGTCTGAAAACTTTGTTATAAATGAGTGAAACACAGTTTGGGTATAGTAATCCATCTTATCTATTTCATTTTATAAATTTCTATTAGTTTTTATATTGAAAATTATGACGTCCTTTTAGAGTTACTCACTTTATTGAAGAAGCAAATTTATAGCTTTATGTCCACAGTGTGCATGACACTAGCATTGTTTATTTCTAAAGCTAATGACTTCTTACATTGTCTTTACAGTTGAACATTTCAGCCATTTATAGAAAGCTTAAGTAAAGACATTTTATTTTTACTGTAGCGCAAGCAATAAGCAGTTACTCTTTTCTGATAGACTGAATGTCTCTTTTGGTAATATCTCTCAGGGAAACATTACAAAAAATTTGAAGTTTATATACTGTAATCTTTTTTTCCAACAAGATGGTAAAATTTTGTATGTGTCTAATTTTAAAAAATTATAGTTTATTAAAATATATTTAACATTAGAAATGTACTTAATCCTTCTTTGATGTTTGAGAAAATGCCTCAGTATCTTTCAGGTACTTTATTTGCCCAATATTGGCCATTCATTGTATTTGAGAAGCACAGAAATATCAGTTAGATGTACAGTGTGTACAGTGTACATAATAGAGAACTTATTGGACTTGTGTTCTGAGATCAATTTCTTTTCCAGATTTATTGTTCTTTAAAATTTACCTTTCTTTTGTTATATTAAGGGATGGGATCTATACCAGAAGTTGGCAAATTTTTTCTATGAAAGACTAGATAGTAAATATTTAGGCTTTGTGGGTCATGCAGTTTCTGTTGAAACTACTCACCTCTGCCATTTTAGCACAAAAGCAACTATAGACAATACAAAAAAGAATGAGCATGGCTATGTTGAAATAAATATTTATTATCAAAACCAGGCAGCTGGCTGGATTTGGCCCATGAGCTATGTAGTATGCTGACTTTTAAATTATGACACTATGAGGGACCTCATCTTTTATTTCCACATTTCGAGTAGCCTATATAGTGCCTGGAACTTATTGTTGAATAAATATTTGTTGAATTAGTGTGAATGAATAGATGCTGTTTAAAGAATATATTAAAAAAAAGGCATATGTGAGTGTTCCAGTCAAAATGGTGGCATAGGTAAATGTGGTACTCACCATTTCCCACAACCACATCACTATTACAACAAAAATACAGAACAACCATCGTTCAGAACCACATGAAATCTAGCTGAATGAAAGCCCCTACAACTAGGGAATTAAGAAGCCACAGAGCCTGGTAGGAGGGACAGAGAGACACAAGGCCAATCAAGGAACTGGCTGGTCCCACACCCACAGGTGGCAGTTTAAAATCAGGAGGGATATCTTGGCTGTGGAGGTTTCCCAGCCCCACCTCAGACCCCCTGGTCCAGGATTCCAGTGCTGGGAAGAGAAGCCTCCAAAACTCAGCAGGATTGTGGCTGAGTGACACGGAGATTGCAGGAGACACAGGCAGTTCCTCTTAAAGGGCCTGCCCATGGACTTATTCAGACTCACACCCTCTGAGCTCCAGCACTGGGGCAGCACCTTGAAAGGAACCTGGGACATTTAGGGAGGAACCAACTTGTCTGGAATAGGGCAAGAGCTGGAGGGGCAACTTTTTCCCAGACACAAGTGCTGGCAGAGGCCAGTCTTCCTTTGCTTAGTACTCCCTGCCACAGAGCCTATAGGCAGGCACCATATCTGAATCTCTACCAACCTGGCTCATACTTTTCACCCTGCCCTGGTGATTTCCTGAGACCCCACCCCTCTCTACTTGCAGGCTCATCCAAGCCATTTCCAGTGGCTTTTCTATACAAGTGGCCTCCCTTGTCTCATGCTTCGGACTTTCCTAAAATCTCTCAAACAAGCAGCAGCTGGTCTCAGTGTGCCCTGTACCTCTCAATAAGTGGCCCTAGGCCTAGTATTAGCAGCAGCCCCGCTTGGTTTATAGCTTGGCTTCTTGGGCACCTCCAAGCCCAACACAAGTAGCAGCCATCTGCAGATTATTTTGTAGCTCATGCTGGGTAGCCCTGGGCAGGGCACAGGCAGTGGCTGACTTTGCACCTCCTGAGAGGCTATATAGAGCCAGTGAACCTGGTGGTCAGCTTCAACCGCGCTGGATTACAACCCTACCAACTCCATGAGTGACACACTTAAGGGGCGTACTTAGCATCAAAGCCCCACTGAACCTATTCTTGCTCCATAGGGTCGGCTCCTGTACAGAAGTTCTGTTGTAGTCTCAGTCGAGCCTCTCAACTGATTGGCCTGGGGGTCAATCCTACCCAGTGACACCAACATAAATCAAGGCTCAACTACAATAGGACAGTGCACACAGTTCATACTGGAGTGCCCAGCTCAAGTGATTGGGAATGCTGAGCCACTGGGCCCTACAGAACACCTACTACACAAGGCCTTTCTACCAGTGTGGGAGATGTAACAGA